AATACCCCAATCAATAAAGAAAAAAATGTATATTTATATTTACTTTTTAAGATTCTTAGTCTACAGTACACAATTTCTCTCCAGAAAGTGTTCCCTCCCACAGAAAACCAGAATGTCCACTAAATCTATCAAAGAAATAGAACAGAAAACTCCAAGATCACATGGCTTTATTACTGAATACTATGAAATACTTAAAGAAATATTATCAATTCTATACAAAATTTTTCATAAAGTAGAAGAGAGTAAACACTTTGCAAATAATTTTATGAGGCCAGTATTATATCATACCCAAACCTGACGAAGACATTACAAGGAAAGAAAACCACAGACCAATATCCTTCATGAAGTTACACACACAAAAACTTAAATATCAGCAAACCTAATCTAGTAAACCAAGAAGATGATGATACATCATGACCAAGTGAGATTTATCTCAAGAATAAAATATTGGTCTCAAATTAAAAAATTATTTGATCATATTCAGCAAATAAAGGGCAAAATACAGCCATTTCGATAGATGCAGGTAAAGCACTTAACAATATTCAACAGCCACTTATGATTTTTAAAAAAAATCAGAAAAATACAACCAGAAGAAAACTTTCTTAATCTGAACAAGGGAATCTACAAAAATCCTACAGCTAACTGACACTGAATTGTAAAAGATAGCATTCTGTTCAACATTGTCCTGGAAATTCTAGGCAGTGCACTATGAAAGAAAGAGAAATAGAAATCATACAAATTAGAGAGAGAGAGAGAGAGAGAGAGAGAGAGAGAGAGAGAGAGAGAAGTAGCTTTATTCAGAGATGGCATGTTTGTGTACGTAGAAAATCCTATCTACAAAAAAGAAAAGTGAAAATTTAAAAATCACTATCATTTAAAATGGCATTCCAAAACATGAAATACTTGTATAAAATTACAAAATATTTACTGTCAAAACTGTTGCTAAGAGAAATGAAAGAAAACCTACTAAGTGGAGAAATAGGTCATGTTCATGGATTGGAAGACCCAGCATTCTTAGATTGTACGTTCTCACCACACCATTCTATAAATTTGACGCAAACCTAATAAAAATCCTGACTTTGCAGAAATTGACAAACTGATTTCACAATGTATGTGGAAATGCAAAGAATCCAGAATAGAAACATCCACCTTGTAAAATAAGAATACAGCCGAAACCAGTTTGGCTCAGTGGATAGAGCATCGGCCTGAGTCTGAAAGGTCCTGGGTTCGATTCCGGTCAAGGGCATGTACCTTGGTTGCGGGCACATCCTCAGTAGGGGGTGTGCAAGAGGCAGCTGATCGATGATTCTCTCTCATCGATGTTTCTAACTCTCTATCCCTCTCTCTTCCTCTCTGTAAAAAATCAATAAAAAATATATTTTAAAAAAAAGAAAAGAACAATACAGTTGGAAGATATAAGCGTGACTAAAAGAGAATACAGACAAAACGAAAAGCTTCTAGTTTGCTGATGGGGATATAAGCTGGCATCATCATATTGAAAAACAGTTATTCGGGCCGAAACCAGTGTGGCTCAGTGGATAGAGTGTCAGCCTGTGGACTGAGGGTCCCGGGTTCAATTCCGGTCAGGGGCATGTACCTTGGTTGCGGGCACATCCCCAGTGGGGAGTGTGCAGGAGGCAGCTGATCGATGGAGCTCTCTCATCAATGTTTCTGACTCTCTGTCCCTCTCTCTTCCTCTCTGTGAAAAATCAATTTAAAAAAGAAAAAAGAGAGGATCCAAGATGGCTGCTCAGGTAGACATCTAACCGCGGCAGCACACAACAATTTCAATGGAATACAACTAAAATGTAGAGTGGACATTGCCCAGAGCTACAGGTAGTCGACTGACTGAAAATTCTACAACAAGAAGGAAAGAGAAAACCAGAAGGAAAATCAGAGGAGCTGAAAAAAAGCCAAAGGTACGGAGACATGCTGTGCGCCCGCCCGCACGCGCGCACGGAGAGGTCGCAGCCGGAGAGGAGGAGAGGGCGGGGAGCTGCCTTTCCTTCCCTAGCAGGAAGGAAATAAAACCCCCGTCCTGGGCTGAACCCCCGAACCGGCAGCGCTGAGCCCCCCAGAACCGGCAGCGCTGAGCCCCAGTTATGGGCCAGACCCTGGGGACCCAGGCCCCGGTGGGAGGAGACGGGGCCGTGAGGCGGAAAAACGGCGAAAAGCAGGGCCCCTGGAGTCGCGTGCAATGCGCGCAGAGGACTGAATGTTGACTCTGATGCTGGGTTGCCCTAGCCGGAAGAAACAAGGCCTCCGGCGGTGCTGAGCCTCTGTCCGGACCGCTCCGAACCCCAGTTCTGGGCTAATCCCTGGGGACCCAGGCTCAGGCAGAGGGAGACTGGGCTGTGAGGGGGAGTCTGGGGAGAGCGGCGAAAGGCCGGGCCCCCGGGACTCCCGCAAACTGCACGCAGAGGACAGTCTGTTGACTCTGATGCTGGACTTCCCTAGCGGGAAGGAGAAAAAAAAAAGCTCTAGGCTGGGGGAACACGGAGGGGAGTGGAAGCCCCTGCCAGACTCCAGCCAACCGGGCACCAGCAAGGAGGCGGGCCACGGGGCCCCTGGAGGCGTGGGTGCCCCTGAGCCTTTGACCACTGAGCTCGGGCAATGGAGCCAAGGCCGGGGGATGCTTCCTGGGCGGCGCCATCCCCGGCAACAGGCTGAAGCAGCGCAGGAGCCCGCGCAGAACAAAGGGGTGCCACAGGCCAACCTGCTGAGCTCCCAGGACAAGGAGGAAGAAACCAAAGAAGTTCTCAATGTGAAGAAATCAAGTAAGAGCAAAAAATAGTAAAATTACTTAAGAAAGAATACAAAGAAGATCTTGAAAAATCAAAGACTAAGTCAGAACTCAACTCACCAGCCAACATTGCAACATAAATGCGTTTTAAAAAGAAAAAAGAAAAAAAAAAAAAACGGACAGAATGTTGGAACAGCGGCGGCCAGGCCTAGAGTGGCCAGGCACAAGGCAGTGGCAGCCAGGCCCGGAGCAGCAACGGCCAGGCCCCAGAACAACAGCAACCAGAACCAGAGCATCAATAGCCAGCACTGGAGCAGCCAGACCTGGGGCAGTGGCAGCCAGGCATGAGGTGGAGGCGGCCAAGCCCAGGGTGGCCAGTCCAGGAACACCCAGACCCGGAGTGGCCGGGCCCGGAGAAGCCGGGCCCAGAGCAGCCGGGGTGGGAGCAGCCAGACCCAGAACAGCAGTAGCCAAGCCCAGAGCATCCAGGTCGGGAGTGGCCAGGCTCGGAGCGGCCGGCCCGGGGCAGCCGGGCCCAGAGCAGCCGGGTCGGGTGTGGCCAGACCCGGAGCAGCGGCTGCCAGGCTGGGAGCGGCCAGGCCCGGGGCAGCAGCCGGGTCGGGTGTGGCCAGGCCCGGAGCAGCGGCTGCCAGGCTGGGAGCGGCCAGGCCCGGGGGAGCACGCGGGTCGGGTGCGGCCAGGCCTGGAGCAGCAGCAGCCAAGTCCAGAGCAACTAGGTCGGGAGCGGCAGTGACCATACCCGGAGCAGCTGGTTGTGGAATGAACCAGAGCAACAGAGGCCAGGCCCTGAGCAGGCAGGCCCAGAACAGCTCGCTTCTTGCCTGCCCCTGCCCCATGGCTGCTTCTCAGACATGGCTGGAAACTTTCGTGGGAACTTGAGGGTCTGCTGAATCAAGTGATGAAGGCTTAGATCTGGATGTGTTGAGTTAGTTTAGGACTGGGGTGTTGATCTGTGAGTGCCTTGGATGGGGCCTGGGTGAGGCTGGTGGACCTATTGGGAAATGTCTTTTGTGTGAAATGTATCATTAGGCATGTGGAGGTATTATTGATATGAGAAAATGCTAAGTAACTGATTTACTATCTGGCCTGGGATTTACTATTGGGGAAAGGGAGGGAAGAAGAGACTGAACATAAACTGCACCTATGGATGAAGACAATGGGGGATGGGGAGGGGGCGGAGGGTGGGGTGGGAACCTGGTGGAGGGGGGAAGAAATGAGGAACCTTTGTAATAATATGAACAATAAAGATTGATTTTAAAAAATAAATAAATAAAATATTTTTAAAATAGCAAAAAAAAAAAAAAAGAGAGAGAGAGAGAGAAAAAAGAAAGAAATACAGTTCTTCGGTTTCTTATAAAGTTAAATTTCCACTTAACCGCATGACCCAGCAAGGCGATGTCTGCTATTTACCTGATAAAAACATTTGTTTGATAAAAACAACATTTGTCTTCACAAAGACGGATCCATAAACTTTTGTATCAACTCTATTAATAAGAAGCCCAATTTGAAAACAACCCAGATGTCCACAACAGGTGAATGGTTACACAGATAATGATACATTTGTGCGAGGAATAGCACTCAGCAGTGAAAAGGAACGGAGGAGTGACTGCTGCTGGGAACCCCCCAGGGCGGGGCCCCACCGTCTCTGCAGGTGGAGACCATAGAGATGAGCAGGCCAGGACTAGTCCAGAGGGGCCGCCGCCACCACCGAGTCACCCTCAGAACTCGATGGTGGAGGACAGGGCTCAGCAAGTCTGTGTAACATGAGGGCGGCCAGGCCGGTGCGCCAGCGGCTTTGAGGCTCACCCGGAAGCCTGGCATTCAGCCAGAGAGCAGGAAACAGTCACGTTCCCAGCAGCCCCAGCTCAGCATCCCAGAATAGGCCCCTCTTGCCAGAAAACCAACGAGTTGGGGAAGGGGGTCTATTTGCGCAGGCGCACTCGGCTCGGTTGCGCACGCGCGAAGCCGTTGTTTGCGCAGGCGCCCTGGACATGCTGCGTGGCCTGGCCTGTGAAAGGGTGGGACTTCCTGAGATACACGCCCCCCCTCCCCCCCCCGTGTGCCTCCTTAAATTGGACTGATGGGGCCGCCATCTTGAAGTTAGACTAGGAGGGGAACATGGATTGCGAAGCAGCCGTTCGGGCCGCAGGCGAAGAAGGTGCAGGTTGTATGGGTAGTGGAAAGGGGCCTATCGGTAGTCCTGGAGGCCAGGGTGGAACCGGAGACCTTACCAGCCATGGTCTCCTTAATGATCTGGAAGGGCAGCGTGGTCCTCGTGGCCCTCGTGGTCCTCGTGGCCCTGCAAGCCCCGACACCCAGAGTGACCCTTGCAGCCTTCCTGGCCAGGGTGGCCCTGGTGCCCCCGACAGTCAGGATGGCCTGGATTCCCTGGGTGGCCCTGATCACGAGAAAACCATGGGAGCAGTAGCCATAGATGCTCCCACTGTGGCCCGGGCAGGTGTTTCTGGGCCGGGTGGCTACGCACTCTCCGGAAACCGAAAGAAGAGCTTGTATCCTTTCCGATGATGCCCTGAGGCCTAGTGGCTGAGAGACAGCTCAGTGACACCCCGCAAGGCTAGGGCTGGCTTTTGGGGACAGGGCAGAGCGCAACATGGGAAAGACAAAAAATGGGAGCGGGGGGGGGGGGGATTGAGGGTGGGGATGGGAGGTGGGGTGGGGGGCGGACGACTTGAGCGGAAGCCTGGGGTGAAGGCCAGCCTCGGAGGTACAAGGAAGCCCGAGGCACTGGCGAATTCAGCTGCGGATGGCGCCTTAACCAGGACTCCTGCAGCAAGCTCACTGTGCCTTTCCGGTGCTCGCTGGAGGCGGAGATGGCCCGCATAACCATGGACGACGAAGATGAGTATATCCCCCAGCAGGTGGTTCAAAGGGAGATCAAGATCAAGGGCGCCGTGTTGTTTGTGTGAGTTGTAGAAGGAGCCAATATGGGGGTGGGGGGCAAGTGCTCAGGGCCTAAGAGCCGATCTTAGCAAGAGAGGGGCTGTGGCATGCATACACGGAGTGTCCGATCTCTGGCGGGGAGGGGGTTGGGGGAGGCAGAGGGAGGGGGTGATGTGCTGAGTGTAAGAGAGTCATCACCTTTAACTTGATTTTTATCCCTCACTTTTAGCAAATGGATTGCCGACGACTTTGATCAGCTCCGTGTTTCCGTCGGCGCCTTCCTGGAAAAGCTGTCGGTGGTGATGCGCAACATCCAGTGCATTTGGCCTTTGATTCCAAAGAGAGTCAACAGGGAGGGGAGGGCTGGGATGGAACCCGGTGACCCTAACTAGGCTCTTCCCAGGGGATTGGTTCCCGGAGTAGCGCTACCCTCTGACCGGGATCTGTTGTTTGCTCATATTGGCATCTGGCTCTCTATGCCCGCTTGTTCTGTTTCCCCATTGTTTGAGAAAATGGGTGATTAAATGTTTACTACTGCAGAAAACAAAAGTGAGCTAGTGTTCTGTGTCTTCCTTTTCAGCTACCGTCCCTGCTCATTGTGCTTCCTCTGTCTTCATGTAGGGAAGGTGGGAGATTCTGGGGTTCAGATACTACCGTGTTTCCCCGAAAATAAGACATCCTCCGAAAATAAGACCTAGCGCATGGAAAGATAAGACATCCCCTGAAAATAAGACCTAGCGCAACTTTGGGAGAAAAAAATATAAGACACTCTTATTTTCGGGGAAACAGGGTAGTTCAGATACTAATGGAAGCAGTGAACGGAAACAAAGATCAATTGTGTCCTGACATTCATCACTAAGTAGTGTCAACGCTTTGGAGTATGCTTTGTAGTTTTATACTTGCATTTATACATTAAATGAATAGTGATCATATAAATGTGTAAGATTATTAGTTAGGAGTATGTGTTTGCAAGTTTGCCATTAATATCTCCTGAAAATACTTCATTGAACATATGAACATTACCTTTTTCTTTCTTTCTTAATCCTCACCTGAGGATATTTTTTCCATTGATTTCTAGAGAGAGTGTGGAAGGGAGGGAGGAGGTTGCAAGACACAGAAGCATTGATGTGAGAGAAACACACCTGGACTGGTTGCCTCCCACACACACCCCTACTGGGACTGGGGAGCCTGCAACCAAGGCACTTGCCCTTGACCAGGAATCAAACCCAAGACCCTTAGGTCCATGGGCCGACTCTAAGCACAGAGACAAACCAGCTAGGGCTTATCTTTTTTTAAAATTTGTTTTCCGCTGAAACCGGTTTGGCTCAGTGGATAGCGCGTTGGTCTGCGGACTGAAGGGTCCCAGGTTCGATTCTGGGCAAGGGCATGTACATTGGCTGCCGGCACATCCCCGGTGGGGGGTGTGCAGGAGGCAGCTAGTCGATGTCTCTCTCTCTCTCATCGATGTTTCTAGCTCTCTATCTCTCTCCCTTCCTCTCTGTAAAAAATCAATAAAATATATTTTAAAAAATAAAAAAATAAAATTTGATTTCCCCAGGAGACACTTTAAGTGAGGTAGTCTGGGGACAGGGCATAGCCCTGTAAAAATCAGCAAACTTCTATTGGGGTGGTGGGGTTGGGGGGGAAGGGGGTGATAGGCAGCGAAGACAGGAAAACAGGGAAGCAGAAATACAGAGGGGTTGAATGTTCCCCCAGCCCTCAGCAGGCAGGGGAGAGGGCCTCTCCATCAGGGCATAGGAGTGCTCTCCATCAGGGCATAGGAGTGGGGGTGGGCCCCAGCATTAGAGGGGCGAACCTAAGGAGGCTGGGGTGGGTCCCAGGGGCTAGAGGCAGACCCCTTGGACCTGGGGGTGGACTCCAGCAAATGGAGGAGCATGGACCCCAGATGGTGGGTGGACCACAGGTGCTAGCCAGTGGACTCCAAGGGCTGGAGGGGGGCAGCTGGAGACGGCTCATGGGCTCTGAGGGTGCAGGCCCACTGGGTGGAATCAGGGGCAGAGGCAGGACTCCTGCCAGGAGTGGAGACAAAGACTCAGGTATCTGTGCCACCTTGGGGGCCAGCTATTCAACAGTGGGGGTGGCAGCCCAGAAGGCAATGCAGTGGGTGGCTTCTCCAGCTCCAAGTGGAACTACAGGAAGAGCTGCTTGATTTCCTGGTTCCAGTGAGTGCAAACATGGCCCTTGGCCTTGTCACTGGTCTCCGGGCCGTCAGCAGGTGCTGCCAGCGTGTGTCTGGAGGATCGAGCCACTGCTGGTGGGCGGACAGGAAGCGAAGGGTAGCATGATGCCTTCGGCCAGTGGTCTGCAAACTCATTAGTCAACAGTGACTAATATCAACAGTACTTCTGTGCATGGGCCATGAAGTTTCAATCGGTACATGTGCGCCTGCACGTGGTATCTTGTGGAAGAGTCACACTCAAGGAGCCAAAGAGCCGCATGTGGCTCGAAAGCCACAGTTTTTGCAGACCACTGCCCTCCGCGATCTCAGGGGAGTAGATCTGGAAGGGTAGGCTCTGCTGGCCCATCTCTGTGTTCTTTTATTATTATTATTATTATTATTATTATTATTATTTTATCGGTCACTCCCCACAGCCCGTTGCCCACCCTCCCAGACACACACACCCGCACCGCTACAGGAGTCGGGAGATTTAAACCCAGCAGCCCGCCTCGCCCCCAACACCCTCCCCCCAGCGCCTGGTGCCCTGTATTTGCTCCCCTCTCGCTCCCACGGCCAAACCCAATGGCCAAATCCGGCTCAAGTTTGAAATCAGGCAGAACATCGCGGTAAGGAACTGAGTGTGAAAGAGACCTCAAAATGGGTAAGGGGATATTGTTCTCCGCTTCCTCTTCTGAGCCCATAGCCCGGTTCCCCCAAGTTCTTCCCCATCTCCCTCAGGCGCCCCCTGCACCTGCCAGACACTCCAGTGCCCCCCACCCCCAGGCTGTGCCCTGAGCTTTGGTCATCCCTGAATCCTGGGAGCCTTCGGTAGCGGAGCCAGCATGCAGAAAATGTTCCTATCTCTGTGAGGCAGGAAAGTAAGAAGCTAGGGAATTTCCTGGGCCAGTGAAATGGGGAAACCGAAAGAAGATAAACAAGGCCCAACCGTTTGAACCACTTACAGCCAGCTCGTCAATCACAAGACCTTGTCTTTCCTAATTAAGGACACTTGAGAGCAAATGGTTTACACCTCTCCTTCCTAACCAGAGAATACAGAGTTTAATTCACCTTTGGGATGGTGGGGGTGAAGGACAGAGACCCCATTAATACCATTTGCCAGCCAAGCTCAAGGATGGATGAAGTCGCGGGGTGGGGAGGGACATCAAAAATCTAATTGGAGCCAGATAGATCCAAGACAAAAGTGAAACTAAAACAGACCAAAGAAGAATCCCCAACTCCCCTATACACTAATGTTGATGCATCAGCATATTAACAGTGCACAAAGCTGATTAATATTCTACTAAAACCCTTCCCTAGATTCTCACCTGCAACAAAACACATACAAACTCTTGAGACAAAGACGCAGTTCCGGACAGGGAGGAGCCAGTGCAAAGGCCCTGAGGCAGGAGTGAGCCTTCTCAGGCATGAACTTTTTTTAAAAAAATATGTTTATTGATTTCAGAGAGGAAGGGAGAGAGAGATAGAAACATCAGTGATAAGAGAGAACTACCGATCAGCCACCTCCTGAGCCCACAACCCGGGCATGTGCCCCCAACTGGAATTGAACCCAGGACGCTTCAGTCCACAGGCCAATGCTCTATCCACTAAGCCAGTGGTCAGCAAACTCATTAGTCAACAGAGCCAAATATCAACAGTGCAACGATTGAAATTTCTTTTGAGAGCCAAATTTTTTAAACTTAAACTTCTTCTAACGCCACTTCTTCTAAATAGATTTGCCCAGGCCATGGTATTTTGTGGAAGAGCCACACTCAAGGAGCCGCATGGGGCTCGCGAGCCGCAGTTTGCCGACCACTGCACTAAGCCAAACCAGGTAGGGCTGGCATGAACTTTTTACTCTCTCCTAAACTCTAAGGGTCCCCAGGAGACTTGTTACCAGGGGAGCAGGGGGCAGTGGCAACTCGACCAGGGCTCATCCCCTGATCCTGTCACCAAAGCCCCCTTTTCTCTGACTTCCTGGTGAGTTCAAAGCAGCCACACAACTTTGCTCACTTCTTTCCTATAATGTTTCTAGAGAGCAAAACCATTGCACTGCCCAAGCTCTCCCCTGTTGCTTCTTCTCCCCTAAGTCTTTCCTTTGTCTCACTGTGCCCAACTTCTATCAAAATCACCTGGACTCATGTTGGGAAATCTTTCCTGCACGAAGTCGAGAATCCACACACTACAGGCCAGCCTGAGGCAGACCTGTTCCAGGCCAGTCTGTTCCTGACTGGTGATACTTCTGCTTGGTCATTTTGCAGCCCGGGTGGTCAGTCTTCACAACCTTCATCTCCACTTTAAGCTTCTCTGGCACCAGCTGGGCAGGGGGGTTCCTTAACCTCCTTGGCTGCTGCCCAGCCCAGGCTGGTCTGATGATTTCTCTTTTGGATGTGTGTGTGTGTGTGTGTGTGTGTGTGTGTGTGTGCGTGCGCGCGCGCGCGCTAGCTCCCTTGTTCTTGTAGGGCAGTGTTTCCCAAACTTTTGACATATGTGTACCCTTCTATAATTTTTGTAACGCTGAGTCCCCCTCATACTCATGAGAACATAGAATTAGGTGCAGCTAAGCACGGTGCAGTGCATATCCCCACCAAACTCCGGTGCAACGCGTACCTCCACCAAACTCTTCCCGTATCCCGGGGGGTACACGTACCACACTTTGGGAAACACTGTTGTAGGGAATCAGGCACAGCTTGCACTCCTAGGAGCCCAGGTCCAGGATCATTTACTGCCTTGGCACCACGGGTGGACTGCGAAGCTGCTGGCAGTGTCCACACTTAGGTCAGATCACAGAAATCCTCTGTTCCAAACCTGCTCTGGGCTCCCCTCTCACGCACAGACACAGCCAAAGCCTTTACAGCAAGCATGTCAAACTCACAGGCTAACACGGGCCACAGAACCAAGGTTGAAGTGTATGCGGGCCGCAAAACAACAAAAGCTCCCATTTTCATAGAAACATAGGTTTATTTCGATAGAGACACGCTGAATACAAAGGGCTGAAATGAGTCATCATTCACATAAAATAATAGAACGTTTTCATAACAATTTTTTCTTGAACATTCACTTACCAGACACTGAATAATCACACAAATCAACAAGCGTCATGCAAATAAACCTATTTTTCTGTTCTCTAAAAGCGAAATATTTCCTGTTGCTCACACCAAACAAGTCACTCCAAGACTAATGATGTGGCATCGGCTGCTAATATTCACTGCTAGT